TTATACGGGTTCAAATGCTTTTTTAGCCGAGCCTAATGGCTCGGGAATGCCCACGTTAAAAGGCCTTGTGCCACATGACATTCTCGTGGGGGTGACTCAATATCGTGAATCAGCCGTTCACTTTTGAACAGACTGATCGGTTCAACTCTCTGTCTCCGGATAGGAGGAACGAAGGAGGCTACGCCGATGGGCGGAGTCTCCTTCGGGGGAGAATCTCCTCTGGCCCTGAACCCGTTTATACGGGTTCAAACGGGCATATGGCCGAGCCCACGGGCTCGGGAATCCCAGTAAAAACCGACCTTGTGTCACATGTTGCCCCAGGGGGGAGACTCAATATCGTGAGTCAGCCGTTCATTTTTGAACAGACTGCTCGGTTTAACTCTCTGTCTCCGGACGGAGAGGATCCCGAAGGAGGCTACGCCGAAGGGCGGAGTCTCCTTCGGGGAGGTAAACCGGCCCTGAACCCGTTGATGCGGGTACAAACGGGCATATTTTTAGGCCGAGCCCACGGGCTCGGGAATCCCACAATAAAAACCGACCTTGTGTCACATGTTGCCCCAGTGGGGGAGTTCAATATCGTGAGTCAGCTGTTCATTTTTGAACAGACTGCTCGGTTTAACTCTCTGTCTCCGGACGGAGAGGATCCCGAAGGAGGCTACGCCGAAGGGCGGAGTCTCCTCGGGGGAGGAGGGGGGGCCCTGAACCCGTTTATACGGGTTCAAATAGGGTTATTTTTTTGGCCGAGCCTAATGGCTCGGGAATGCCCACGTTAAAAAGGCCTTGTGCCACATGACACCCCTCGTGGGGGTGACTCAATATCGTGAGTCAGCCGTTCACTTTTGAACAGACTGCTCGGTTTGAACTCTCTTCCTACGGGCGGGAGGAACCTGAAGGAGGCTACGCCGAAGGGCGGAGTCTCCTTCGGGAGGTAAAACGGCCCTGAAACCCGTTTATACGGATTCAATGGGCTATTTTTTTTTTTTTTTTGGCCGAGCCAAATAGCTCGGAATGCCCACGTTAAAAAAGCCTTGTGCCACATGACACCCTCGTGGGGGTGGTGACTCAATATCGTGAGTCAGTAGTTCACTTCTGAACCGACTGTTCGGTTGAACTCCCTGCCTTCGGGCGGGGAGGAACCCGAACGAGGCTCGGGGAGGTAAACTGGCCCTGAGCCCCTTTATACGGGTTAAATGGGCATATTTTTAGGGCCGAGCCCACGGGCTCGGAGAACCAACAATAAATAACCGACCTTGTGTCACATGCTGCCCCAGTGGAGGGGGGGTGACTGAATGTTGTGAGTCAGCAGTTCAAGTCGAATCAAGAGTCGAGTCAGAGGCAGTCCGAAACAGAGTCGCGTTCAGACAATTACTACAAGACATTGGAATAATGATATTGGTCGAGACTACATTGTTCTCTCTACTAAACCTGATTGTTCATACTAACACTTCTACTTCTCTGTATATATTCCTGTTTTTAATATATCTGTGTTATTCTATAACTGTGTTCGAGTTCATCTTTATTGGTTCTACCTTGGACTATCACCGCGGTACAAGGATCCGGACCATAACAAAAATGAATAATTAGATTTTTTTTTTTTTACCTTTTCATTACCTTCTGCTGTTTGTCAGTATTTTACCGTTAGCATTTCTATTTGGATTCTGCTTTTCTTTGTCATACTTGCGTAAACAGACAAAAAATCGGGTTCCATTTTTAAATGTAACTCATATCTTAAAATGGATATCATAAATTGGGACACAAGGTCAGAGTCATGTTTGACACTCTACTTATATTGTAAACTGAACCCTAACTTTAGAAACATTCCACTGGATTCCATATTCCAGATTAACACTTATTCTTAAAAAATGAAAAACATCCGAATATATTTCAGAAAAGAAAACGGTACATGATAGATCCAATTCTGTACAAAATTCTCTAACTTGTTAGGAAATTTTTATCCTTTTCAAATTTGTAACGGGTTGAAAAAAAAACGGTATAAAATTTAAAACCGCAAAAAAATATCGGAGCAAATACAACAGCTTAAGAAAAACTTGCTTATTCTCTATTTTCGAAAATTTTTATTTATTTATTTTTTTAATTAGAACCGCATTCTTTAAGTCGACTAATGATTTATATATTATGTTCCCTTTTCTTAAAGATATATAATGCTACATATCAACACCACAAGGATAAAGACTAAATAATTAATCCAATAAACTCATAATTCTGTTTGACATACCTTTATTTAGCACGACCCCTATGCCCTGCTAATAACTCACAAATCATGGACTATTCCGATTTGATCGCGTGAAAAGACGGAAAAGAATTATCAGAGACGCTACTTGGTTTCATTGAGAAGATGAAATAAATAAAGAAAGAAAAGAAGATAGAAATGTTTAACGGCTGTTTGATGTGAAATTGAAAAAGTCGTCACTTAAAAATCTTCTCATTTGTACGCCTTCACTTCTTAAAATAACGATCAACATTCATATTTGCGATTCTTTTGGAAATATTTTGAAAAATAATGATATATTATTGCCGTAGAATTTGCCATGAGCATATTCAAATATTTTAAACTAAGATTCATCGGAAAATTAAAATAAAAAAAAACGTGAAATTTTCCCGGGTATTTTCTTGTCTATATATAAAATTCTGTGACTTTCGTTAGTCCGTCTGTCACACCCTCTAAAATTGGAGAGAAGTGCAAACAGGTACTGGGGTTACAAAGTACACTTGGTTTTACAGAGTGCATAGCTTTTTCCAATAAATTTTCATTAATATTTCGGAAAAATTAAATGTTTTATTATTTAACATACAAAATACTCCCACCATTTTAAAAAACAATTTACTGATTAAAATAACAAATACTTATTTAATAAAAGTGCAATATTGTTTGTTGCATATCTTTTCTTTATGTTTTCATATGCAAGAAACCACTTTCTTGTTCGTTCTGTGTTTGCGTGAACTATAAACAAATCACAAAGTTTCAAAAAGTTGGAATTTTTGTTTTGCATAAATATTTCTTTCTGGAAGAAAGAAATATTTATGCATGACCAGTTGTATGTCACATGCTGAAGAGTAAGAAATACTAAGAATTTATTCTTCGCTGTTAAAAGAAGGACAAAAGAGATTTTCTTAAAAAATATTGTTTAGCATGAGGTCCTATAAAATTAAATGAAATAAATTTTTATACCGCGAAGTAGTGGTTTTTTTTTTTCAAAAGTATTCTCCAAAATTCAGTTTAGTCAAATTTCATCAATTGGTTGCGAAATTGAACGAAACGTACAGTTTGTAAATCTCGACAAAAATGTTAGCGATAATTTCAACAGTGCTATTTTAAGCATTTCAACACACTGACGCGTGTTGGAAAAACATCTATAGCATTTCAAGTTCAATTTGGGGTAAATCAAAGTCATTTTGGGACTAAGCAAATTCATAATGAAATAGCCAAGTTTAAAATGGGACATAGCGAATTCCAAATGGGATAGTCACATTCAGAATGGGATGTAACAAATTCCAAATGGGATAGTCAAATTTAAATTGAGACATAGCTAATTCAAAATGGAATCGTCAAATTCAAAATGGAATAAGCAAATTTGATTTGGGACTTAGCAAGTTCAAAATAGATTATGCAAATTCAATTTCGGACTTTGCAATTATTTTCCTAAAAAAGACTTTAAAATTAAATATTTCCATGATAAATTAATAATGTTCAACTAAACTTTACTATTGAAAAGTTTTATCTTCGAGGAGCAATCAATAAAACAAGAAAATTTATGAAAAGTGTATGTTTTTTGGATGTAACTTTTCGCTCCGATTTTTAATTATCTGATTTACCGCCCAGTTGATTTTTTCATCCATGATATTTGTTTATTGAAATGCACAGATGAGTTCAAAACATTTTCCCGTAAGGAATCTGCTTCGTACCATTTCAAACTTGATTATTTCATTATGAATTTGCTTCGTTCCAAATAAAACTTGCTTATTTCATTTTGAATTTGCTTTGTCGCATTCTCAACTTGACTATTTCATTTTGAATTTGCTATGTCCCATTCTGACCTTGGCTAATTCATCTTGAATTTGCTATGTCCCATTCTGAACTTGACTATTTCATTTTCAATTAGCTTTGTTCCAAAACGACTTTGATTATTCCCAAACTGAACTTGAAATGGTGTAATATATATAAAATTTCTCAAATCTACTTAAACTTTAGAAGGAATATAACCAAAATAAAACAATGCTAATAGCAATTTCTGTAGCAAATATTCAGGCGAACTACATTTCTTGGTTTAACAAGTCTAAACTTTAAAAGCTAGAAGTCACCATGATGCCTACACTGACTCAACACATCCTCATTGCCTTCATATTCCGTTTGTGAGAATTAAGTCACCTAAACTGCTCCATCCCCAGGACTTCTGAATTGTGGAAGGAGATCTTTACAATCTTAACCTATTCAAGTCGACGATAAATCATTATCTATCTTTCATTTGCTCATAACCTTTTCCCTTAATCTGTACGCCGTTACAACACCCCGATTTAATAATTCTATACACTGAACTGATATTGGATTTTATATTAAGGGAACAGTATTAAAAATCATTAACTCTGAAGTAGGAATTTACAATATCGATTGCCAAAAAATTGTTCCACTTAGTGAGACATCTAGAAAATAAAATAAAATACTGTACTAACGTAAGAAAAGGCTTTTATCAAAATACATGTTTGGTCGTAATAAATCTGACAACTGACTAAAAAAATTAGACTGATTAAAAAGAAAAAAAATATTCACACAAAAATCTATTGAATGTGCACTAATTGCATTAACCTATATAGTAAATTTACGTCTAGTATCATTTAACATATCTCCTTTCTTCACAAAATTGTTATTAATCCAATGTGGCATAATTAAAGCAATATTATTATTGCTTTTAATTATGCCACATTGTATTAATAACAATAATAATAATAATAAAAGAAAACGAGAAAAGGCTGACATTGATCAAATGGACGTCAACAGCAAGCGGTACCTGATGTATTCCTCCCGATAACTTTGTCCGCTCTTTTTTCATTTTCATTTTCGAATATCCTTCCTACGGACTCCAAAACAATTGTCATAGAATTTCTCTTATAGCTTTAAAAATTCTGTATGAAGAACATTTTCAGCTTGAATTTTTCATAAATTTCTTTTTGCCATTCCAGTTGAATTTCCTTCTCTGTACACATAGATACATACAGATGACCATAAGAGAAACATTTAAATAATGCTCTAATGTTTAATATAATAATAATAATAATAATAATAATAATAATAATAATAATAATTATTATTATTATTATTATTATTATTCATTCAGAAGATTTTTCATATTAAATAATTCAGTGCAATTTTGAGAAAATCTAATTAAACAGATCTTTTGATAATTTTTCCTCTCGGACGTTTAGTTGGCTTTCGAGTTCCTCTTGGCGTAAGTTTTTATTTCATTACAACTTTCGAATACAGACATTTTTTCCAGAATTGACGCTATACGATCTAGGGACTTCTCTTCTCGTCCGTTAGAATATGAATCGCATCTAAAATACTACCTGTCATATTCTGCAAGTTTTTTTCTTCGTTTGCATTCCCAAGAAATTTACCGGTCTCTTTTTGATTCGAAGTGCAAGTGACCCATTTTTGTTTTTATTTTCCTAAAAACTTTTTTCAAAAGCGGTCCAGCCAAGCGCAATCCTTCTTTTGACCACCATCTCTTGCAATCTTGAATGCAAGGTTGGCGTAACTGTTTTTCCATCTACAATAACGAGAGGAGGTTTATTTACTTATATATATATATATATATATATATATATATACTAGTAGCATGGCCCGGCGTTGCCCGTGCTTGATTCAAAAATCGTACGACTCATACAGCAATCGCTATCACTTGAATTAAAATATTTTTGCCCTTCCTTGCCTTTTTTAAAGTAGTGCCTTTTGCCGTGCTGATGTTGCTACATGCCTTACTTCTTGCCTATCTCACACTGCAAATTTTTTCTAAGCTCTATACTAAACATTAAATCTGTTACGAAAAACGATCAGCTTTAAAAAAGGACTCGTAACTGGAAAACCGAATGAAAAAAGAATGTTAACAAATATTTTTTCACACCCAACCCAGTTCTGCGGAATCAGAATCAACGTTGAGTTTAAGCAAGCGAATGAGCCAATTGGAGTAAAGTGTCATGCCGATTTAAATTTTTCCCACTTGTGACGAATGCAGCTATCGATTTTTTTGCATGCTAGCATGCTAGTTAACATTCGTGTCAGTCAGCTGTTGGCTCTCACGCTGGCCAATAGAATATTCCTGCCTATTCGTGGCAGCCATCTATAGGCTCTCACTCTGTAGAAAATGGCCGCAAACTACATGAAAACTGACGCAGAAGCATGAAAAAATCGATTATTTCCATTATGGATGGGAGTTGAGAAATGCGAAGTTGGTCTTGGCCTTGTTACTCACTTGGAGCATGTGCATGTAAATTTTGGTACAAATCCGTCGAAAATTGCGGCCATGCATTCGTTACATACACACACACACATCCTGCCTTATATATATATATATATAATTGCGAATCCCGTGACCCATTTGGGTCGTAGGGTAGTAGAAGTAGTCTTTCTTGGGCAAGATATCCAGGCCGAATATCTTCCTCATATCTTGAATTCAGAATTACCTTCTCCTGCACTATAGAACCCATTCCCTCTGCTAATTTTCCTATAGCGGCGTGGAGGTTGCTGAAGAAAAGAATTCATACCTTTCCAAAGCATATTCATATAAGTGAATGTAATGAATCAGACTGGAATTCGAACTCGGCTCACCGATTCCTCATTCCGAGCAGTTATCCATTACTCCACCGTGCCTCCTCACATATATTTATAATACTGCCTGCAAAATCCATAAAGGCTTGACGATAAATTACATCCGGCAGCATCTGATCAGAAATTTAGGGGTTTTTACGTGTGTGGTACAACATGTTAATTCCTGATATTCCCAGGTCCACCCGAATTCGGAGTGGTAGCACCTGATACAATCCCAGTTATGGGCAAATAGTGTCCACCCTTGAAAATAAAACCATCATGAAAATATAAAAATACCAGTAATACATTTTATATATAAAAAAACAAAACAATAGTGCATATTTAAATAAAAACAATTATCAATAATACATTTTAAAAAATTACCAGCAATACATACCTAAAAATTATCAACAATTAATTTTATAGTAAATTTACCAACAATACAATTTATAGTAAAATTAACAAAAATACATTTTATAGTAACCTTACCTACAATACATTTCATAGTAAAATTACCAGCAATACATTTTATAGCGAAATGACCAACAATACGTTTTATCTGTAGTTGAAGAGATAGAATTGCATTCAAATTATATTTAGTTCAAGTCATGAAATTGTGTTCAAAATATTAAGATTCCGGCATTAAATAACCCATAGAGGTGTTGATATACCGCTAAACAAAATCTATCAACCAACTTAAACGGCCAAAACTGAAAAATGAATTTACTTGATATGAATTTTTTTTAAAATTAATTAGAAAATTGTAGTAAAATTAGGTCCAAACAATAGGAAGGGAACGGGTTGGCCCGGCACCGCCTACTTCCGGAAGAAACAAAACTCCTCAGCTTCAAGACAGGTTGCTCAAAACAATCTAGCTACAAAACTCCACAGATCTTTGCACTCAATTATTCCAACACCGCCTCGTAGTTCGCTACACACAACTCTTTCGAGTGGTCTCCTGCCGTCACATTTATGCCAGCGAACACCAACCAATTTGCATACGGCCAAGTTCACCTCTCGCCAATTCTCGCGGCTACGAGATCGCGTTTCCCATAAGTCCGACTCACCGTAATGGTGGTGTTTCTTCCTTCGGACCAATTACTGCCCTGCACGCCAGACACAAACGAACCCTCTTATGTCGAGAGCTGAGGTTAGTCTCACTTTCATGTCCACAAAAATATAACGGATATAATCAGAAGAAATCATAATAAGAATATCATTATGCTTCTGGATGAAAGTTATGAAATAGACTGAGGCAAAAAGAATCATCCAATAAAATACTCCGGTAAGCCATCCAGAAAATTTAACTCTTCAAAAACTATAAAGGGCTAAAGAGAATAGAAACATTTAACATCACAAGTTGGTGGTAGGAAAATATTTAAATGCTGATAGAAATTTTTGATAATCATCTTCATTTTGAGAAAATTCGTAGTTTCAATTTCAATAACATCAGGGCCAATATTTGATTCAGAATTCTTGTAAAAACTGACGACATTATTTTCTTCAATGGCATCACTGTGACAGCGGTAAATAGCGAGTAATTACCAAATGTGTCCATACAACATCAGGAGTTTATGTAGGAAAGGTAATTTGAAGTATATTTACTTCCCTTCGTGGAAGTAGTTTGGGGGTTAATATACTGAATAAATCTTGAGTAATGTAAAAAAAAAGTTATATAGTATTTAAAAATTTACGGAAATCTATCTATCTATTTATCTAGGTCAGTTCATATCTATCTATCTATCTATCTATCTATCTATCTATCTATCTATGTCGGTTCATATCTATCTATCTATCTATCTAGGTCTGTTCATGTCTATCTATCTATCTATCTCTGCTCATATCTATCTATCTATCTATCTAGGTCAGTTCATTATCTATCTATCTATCTATCTATCTATCTATCTATCTATGTCTGTTCATATCTATCTATCTATCTATCTATCTATCTATCTATCTATCTATGTCTGTTCATATCTATCTATCTATGTCTGTTCATATCTATCTATCTATGTCTGTTCATATCTATCTATCTATCTATCTATCTATCTATCTATCTATCTATGTCTGTTCATATCTATCTATCTAGGTCTGTTCATGTCTATCTATCTATCTATCTATCTATCTATCTATCTATCTATCTAGGTCTGTTCATGTTCATCTATCCATCTATCTATCTATCCATCTATCTATCTATCTATCCATGTCTGTTCCATCATTCATCTATCTATCTATCTATCTATCTATCTATCTATGTCTGTTCACATCTATCCATCTATGTCTGTTCATATCTATCTATCTATCTATCTATCTATGTCTGTTCATATCTATCTATCTAGGTCTGTTCATGTCTATCTATCTATCTATCTATCTATCTATCTATCTATCTATCTGGGTATGTTCATATCTATCTATCTATCTATCTATCTATCTATCTATCTATCTAGGTCAGTTCATTATCTATCTATCTATCTATGTCTGTTCCACATCTATCTATTCATCTATCCATCTATCTATCTATCTATCTATGTCTGTTCATCTATCTATCTATCTATCTATCTAGGTCTGTTCATGTCTATCTATCTATCTATCTCTGTTCACATCATTATCATCTATCTATCTATCTATCTATCTATCTATCTATCTATCTGGGTATGTTCATATCTATCCATCTATCTATCTATCTATCTATCTATCTATCTATCCATCTATCTATGTCAGTTCATTATTCATCTATCTATCTATCTATCTATCTATCTATCTATCTATCTATGTCTGTTCATTATCTATCTATCTATCTATCTATCTATCTATCTAGGTCTGTTCATATCTATCTATCATGTTCCATCTAGGTCTATTTCATAGGTCTCATTCATCTATCTATCTATCTATCTATCTCTGTTCATATCTATCTATCTATCTATCTATCTATCTATCTATCTATCTATCTATCTCTGTTCATATCTATCTATCTCTGTATCTATCTATCTATCTAGGTTTATTCATATCTATCTATCTATCTATCTATCTATCTATCTATCTATCTATCTATCTATCTATCTATCTATCTGCCTTAACCTCTTTATCATCTATATATCAGTTTGCACATATCTACCTATCGTATGAATTTCCTACTCTCCAGCTGATAATACTTACATATATTTCTCTTTTTTTTATTCCCAATAATTCCTGACTCTCTTTCTCTCTCCCCTCTCTCTCCGTCATTCTCTCTTTTTATCGAGGTATGTACACCCTTAAGTGCACACATCAACCCGTCATAGACTCCGTTCTCAAAAATGGGGAATGTCACGTGTGCGCGCGATGTCCTTTGCCCAAAATCGTTGCTGGCATTTCCAAATACCAGCCTCGTTCATCGACCCAACTTTAACATTTGGTTCCAGCATATTCGATGTCAACGCTGTCAAATAGTGAAACGTAGCCCCTGCGGCCTGTCCTCTTTTTCCCCACCTGCCAAACTACCCGGCCAACCCGCCACCCTTCGTCTGTCACTAAAATTGTCTGCGAAAATGTTTGTCACTTAGTTGGTTGCCTGATGGGCAAAATCCAGCAAGTTTGCCTCTCGGGTGTTTAGTCGCCTCCGAGTTCCTCTCGGCGTCAGTTTTTATTTCATTACGACTTTCAAATACAAACATTTTTTTTTGAATTGGCGCTATACGATCTTCTTCTCCGTTAGAATATGAATTACATCTAAATTACGACCTATCATATCATGAAAGTCGTCTTTCTTCCTTTGAATTCCCTTGAAATTCCATCGGTGTCTTTCTGATTTGAAGTGTAAGTGACCCACTTTTGTTTTTATTTTTCTAAAAACTTCCTCATTTATTACTTACTTCGTCCATGTTATTCTCAGAATTCTTCTGTAGAATCCCATTTCTGTTGCTTCAAGTCTTTATTTCATCTGTCGGAAAACTGCCCAGCATCTTCTGTCATAGACAAGTATAGATATTACATAGTTGGCCAGCACGCCTCTCGTTGTATTTTACGGAATTTTTCCTGTTTCTTAATACTTTCTTTAGATTTTGGAAGGGATCTTCCTCTATTTCGATGCACATTCGGTTTTCGATGCCACATTTTATATCCTCTGATTCCCTAATCCTTCCAACGCCTGCGTATTAAAAAAACAAAAAAAAAACACGCCTAAGTCAGATCTCATCATTTTTTTACGTGTCCTTAACGTAAAAATAAATGCATTTTATTATTATTATTATTATTATTAATATTATTGTTGTTGTTGTTGTTGTTGTTGTTGTTGTCGCTGCTGCTGCTGCTGTGCTTCGCATTGTTTTCACCTTCTATTGCATCCCCTCAACCTTTCACAGAATATTTGCGTTGTCAAGCAACGCAAACTTCTGCAGCGATTATTATTATTATTATTATTATTATTATTATTATTATTATTATCGTATATGGTTTCCGGTGTATATCCATTTCTTCCCAGGTCCTGACCAGAGACCTAAGGTCAGAGATGGCATCATGACATTTTCCACAGAATTTTTTTTTTTCGGGGGGGGGGGGGGTATGCGTGGGGGGAAGAAACAAAAAAAAATCACACAGATTTTACATAGACAAAACTCTTGGTAATGCGAGCTGTATTTGAAGAGTACAATTTTTCGAATTTCTTTAAACCATGGACTACGAGGGATCACTTCAGTGAGTCTATCGGGACCTTTTCCAATCAATCCGAGGGCTCGTACTACAACTGGAGTTGTTGATGTGCCAAATTCTTTTTTAGATTTCCCCTTCAGGATCCTTGTATTTTCAGAGTTCTGTTGAAGATCTACAAAGATACATTGTAGGGACGGCCATTTCAATAAGAAGGCACATTTTTGATTTTGATTAGGTCTCCGATCATGATCTATGGGCGATTACCTTTGATTTTTCTGTCATGGGTATTGTAAAGTCCCATAAAATTTTTACAGGTCCTATCTCCTTAACCGGGTTTGGGTGGTGTTCATATCAATTTCTTGCAGTTTCCTTATTATTATTATTATTGTATATTATGTTTCCTGCTTTGTATCCTGTAGAGCCGGGTCCAAACTATGATCTTTAGTCCCTGTAAGAGAATTGTCATTTAATTGATAGCACTTTTCTTTGTATATGGGATGTTCCTTGTAGGGCGATCTTCTGGGAAACTTATATGTTGATATTACCAGGAATACTATTAATAAAATTGTCCATTCTTTTTCTCACGAGGCACAGAGCTCCGTTTATTATTGGTACAGTGTCAGTCTTCACCACCCCTCCACATCCTGTTAATCTCGATATCCAGGTCCTTGTATTTGGACAATTTCTCGATAATTTTGATGGAGGTGCTTCTCTAAGATGGTACTACTCTGTCAGTAAGTATACACTTCCTGAATTTCTTGACTTTTATGATAATATCAGGTCTTTCGGCTAGTATATAGTATTTCCTCGTCTCTTTCTGTTCATTTTATACTCTATTTGAAAATAATTTACACACACACACATTTATTTGAGTAAATGCTGTTTTTTTTTTTTAATTAGGCAGTATTAATTACATTTAACGGTCTGAATGTTCGAGAAATTTCGTAGAAAATATGAGTTCTCAGATAGGAATCGAACCTGTATTCCTATACGGAAACCGTCATTTGATATTGTTGTGGTAGGATCCACCTAATTTGCATTGTGGAGTACGAACCATATAAATATGGTTGGTACCGGGAAGAGAGGGAGGAATCAAGAGATTCAACCAGAGACTCTGCCCGACTGCGACTAAGTCAACACATTCTCCAGGAACGGTCTTACCAGGAATATACAAAAGACTATATGTAAATATTGTGTACACTTTCTTGTTTCAATACATTTTGTTCTAAGTACATTTTGTGTTGCATTATTATTCTATGCATTAGTCAAGTTTCAACAGATATAGACAAAAGTGTCTGGTTAGCCAGGTCTAAATTACTGTTTTAAACAATCTTCGATCAATCATTTGTGCTCACGAAACGTATCTTAACGTAAACAATGACAACATATATGGAATGGATTAAGTCCAACAGTTATTTAATATTATCTTCTGTTTATACATTATTTTTATTGATACAATCTAATTAAGTATAAATAACGTATAAACAGAATATATATTATATATATTGTTTATACGTTATTTATGCTTAAATAAATTGTATAAAGGTGATATATATATAAAGGATATATATATATATATATATATATATATATATATATATATATATATTCAATCCACAGCTAGACTTCGCTCATCAGTGTTGCTAGACGCCTCTAGCTAGGATCGACACCCGACTGAAATGGTGTTAGTCAGAGGATTGGCGCACGGCAGAGGTGAAGGTGAATTTAAGCGTATTTATTTTTATATAAACACACAGTGACTGAGAGAAGTCGATTCAATTTACCGTAAAGTCTTGCATTATTAGCCGTAATACTCACTGTTTACAAAACCCACACTTCCTCCCCAGATATATATATATATATATATAAATACACACACACATATATATATATAAATACATATACACACACACACACACATATATATATATATATATATATATATATATAGAGAGAGAGAGAGAGAGAGAGAGAGATAGATAGATATCAACTTTTATATAAATAGGGCAGACGTATTTCGAATTTTAATATTCCAGGCAGACCTTCACCAGTTGAAGAATAGGCACAAGGTTTTTCCCTGTCGACGCTATTTCTTCTTATTTAGTTGAGGTTTTTAACCCCCCCCCCCCAACCACCCTTTTGGCCGTGTCGACCTATATCATTAAATTCAGCCCGGCAATGTAATCAGTTCGCCTCTGCTCACAACGTTTTTGTTCTTTGTTCGTGAGGCAAATTTCAATACCGTCAAAAAGTTTTAAATTAGGTGCGTTCGTCTCCTGAGAACCCAAACATTGACTGGGATGTTTTATGGGAGTAAAGAGAGGCAAACAGAAAACTGTAATCAACTGGCTTCAAATCAGTCGACAAAGAATGACATCCATAATGTCAGTTGAACAGAGTGGGTCTTTCTGAACGAAGATAAGAAGAGTGAAATTGCAGATATCAGTTGTTGGCAAGACAGAATAACAATAAAAACGGAAACAAGCCCCGCACACACACACACATATATATAGATAGATATATTGAAGGTATACATGTATATATATATATTAGGAAATGGACAAGGTCCGACAATTTATTTATTAAAGACATTTTTATGTTTAACGTTGTTTTTTATAGATACAAGTATTTAAGTATAGGTTCTGTTTACGATAAACAGTATTAAATAACATTTACAGGCCTGAATGTCCGAGAAATTTTCATAGAAAATATTCGTTCATAGACAGGATTCGAACCTGCATCCTATACGGAACCGTCATATACGCTGACGTGCCTTGACCACTGGCCACCATGAACCTTATGGTAGACAAGGTCGAATTTACTGTTATAAACTACAATCTTCCATGAATCTCGTACATTCATAACTGCTCTGGCGTATCGAATGTAAACAAATGACGTCATATGTTAAGAAATGGACGAGGTCCGACAATTTATTTATTAAAAAACATTTTATTTAACGTTGTTTTAACGTTTCCAAACATATTTATAAATGGAAATGTCCGACAATTTATTTATAAAAACAACGTTAAATATAAAAATGTCTTTAATAAATAAATTGTTGGACTTTGTCCATTTTTAATATATGACGTCATTTGTTTACATTTGATACGTCAGAGCAGTTATGAATGTACGAGATTTATGGAAGATTGAAGTTTTAAGCTGTAAATTGACCTTGTCTACCGAACGATTTTTGTAGCCGATAAACAAAAAACGTCAGCGTAAATGACGGTTCCGTATAGAATGCAGGTTCGAATCCTGTCAAAGAACGAATATTTTCTATGAAAAATTTCTCGGACATTCAGGCCGGTAAATGTTATTTAATACTGTTTATCATAAACAGAGCATTTGCTTAAATACTTGTATCTATAAAAACAACGTTAAACATAAAAATGTCTTTAATATATATATATATATATATATACAAATGTAAAAGAACGAAGAATAAAATTGCAACGTTCAAAACATTAATTTAAAACAGGGCTCAATGCAACGGCAGAGCAATAAATATTTATTATACACAGTTACATTAGAATGTAACGGTGTATATATATATATATATATATATATATATATATATATATATATATATTGAAGGTGTACAGCACATACGTCCATCTCATATCCTAACAGTCTGATCGCAATCTAAAGAATATTCATTTAAAAAAAAACATTCTTGAATATTACTTCCTTACTTTGATTTATGGCACTTTGTGCCCTCCACGTGTTTTCTCTGACCTTTCAATCACATGATGAAAATTCATGAACGTTCTCAAATTTAAACGCCTTGATAAACCAATGACATCCTTGAGTTTTACTTATAAATACGTGCAACAACATAAATGCTATATTGCCTTGATAGTGTCCCTCAAAAGACG